TTTCATCAATAGCTCGGACAGCATCCCTAATTGCGTCTTGCAACTCTTCCACAGTCGTCGGATGCTTTTCATAGCACTTGTCCTTGAGAAAACCCCACAGGCAAAAATCACAGGGATTTAAGTCAGGACTGTAAGCCGACCATTCCATGCCCCCATGGGTATACTTAGGGTAATCTAAACCTAACACGAGTGCCGTAAACGGAAGAAAGTGTTTCAAATACTCCAGTAGTCCTATGTGGGGCGGCACCATCTTGCATGAAGTAGAAATTCTTGACTAATTGATTTTTTCGTGCCCAAGGAAAGAAGTTCTTTTTCAAGAACTCACAGTAAATGTCAGCATTAATTGTCCGACTCTCGAGGAATTCAAGGAAAACACCCTTTATGGTAACTGCCGCCCATGCAGTAACTTTTTCTGGGTGTGAGGACTTGGTTTCAACGACGTCAGGTGACTCAGTCCCCCAAAAGCGAAAATTTTGTTTATTTACCAAGCTACTTAAGTAGAAATGTGCTTCGTCAGAGAAGATGATATTCTGTGCCTTCATCCCCTTGAATTCCAAAAGATTGTAAAGTTCTTGGCAAAATTCCACACGACGAACCATCGCTTCTTCAGTTAAAAATTGATGTACAGAAATTTTGTAGGAATGGAAGTTTAAAAACACTTTTAAGATACGGTGAAGTGAAGTTCTCGAGACTTTCAAGGTTTGGGAAGCCTTCCGAAGAGTATCATTTGGATATTTTTTGAAATGTTCTTCAGTTGTGCGGATAACCTCATCTGTGGTTACAGTAGGTGAAGGGCCAGGATTCTCATGCCTCCTATCGTCTAGTGTACCGTATTGATCAAATTTCTCAATTAACCTGAAAATACCCATGAAATGGTCGAAAAATGCGGAAATCTTCAAAAAGAAAGGAAAAAAAAATTTTGGTTATCTAGTTCATTCACTCTATTTACCGTCTGAGACTCGAATCAGACACACCAGTGTGTGTGCCATACTTAGAATGAAATGCTCTTATTGCTGCAGTAGTTGAATCTCCTCTTCGGTAATATGATTTGATGAGGAATGTTTTTTGTTCAATGGTTAGGTTTTCTATTTTAGTGTTCTAATTCGCGAGCGACTGAAGTATGGATGAAATTTGCGGAGAGTCTCCACTTCAACCATATATCAGACTTTAGACTGCGCTGTCACCTTGCGGTATACAACGCAATTTACTTTTGTCACATACTATGGGACACCCTGTATAAAAAAATCGCCAGATTTTCCTCGAGAGCAATCAGTCGTAGTCTGAACAGTCCAGTGTAAAAATGGAAGTGATCGTAGAGGTCCAAGGATGCCAAAGTGATCAGAAAACTTTCATCGTCAAGGACTTGGCAGTCGCGTACACTGATGATTATAAACGTGGGGAGTATACTCTCTTCAAGCCACCATACGTATGGAATAAATTGTCAACCGAGTCCAAACAATCTAATAAATGGCTCATCGACAACTTTCATGGCCTACCCGGGGAATTCGGCAAAACATCGTACTCTGAAGTTTCACAAGTCATCAAAGAAATCGCCAAGAACGTAACTAACCTCTACGTAAAAGGATTGCACAAGAAACAGTGGCTTCAAAAAATCTTCGGAAATCCAAAAACAGTGATGGACTTGGAAAATTTGGGCTGTCCGAAATTGGCAGACTTGGAGCTTCCGAAATGTGCGAATTCCCATAACGATTGTGAAACAATTCCATTCGTGTGTGCTCTTGAAAACGTGAAAAATTTGAGAATTTGGTACATGCAAAATCAAAATGTCAGTCTGCATAGATCCCTGGACATTTTCTGTAACCTGAAAAGTCTCAAAGAAATGAGCACCCAGGACATTTCCGCCTTCCCAAAAAAATGTCTGTTGACGTTCGCCTCGCAGAGCATCGAGGATGTATTGGATAGATTGACTGAGAACTTGCAAAAGGACAAGGATATTGCAAATTGCCGTCGATGTCCCCTCCATCATTCTTCCAGGACACTGCCAATGATGAAGAAGTGTTTCTTATGTAAATCTTCCAAGGAAATGGAAGATTATAAGAAGGAAATAACTGGAATATTTCTCATTTACTAATCAACTGTCAAGAAACAATTACATGAGAAATGTAATATTTACAATTAATTGTTAAAAATAAAAAAATATATTACATATATACTTTTTGTTATATTTCCTTCATTATCCTTTTGTCCTTAAGAAAATCATATTAGTAAATAAGAATCAAAAATCCCGCGAATGGAATCATATGGAGAGCTCTGTATTGCCGACTGCTAAACTCATCTCTACCCCGATAAATTCGTCATAATTCAAAATTCATATCCCATCTACATCATACTTCTCGACAACCACCTATGATAAAGAACTGTTCTTTGTGTAAATTTATACGAAGAATAAACAATAAGTAAAAAAATGCATTATTTCGAATGTAATGTTGAAGATTAAAAAATATATCATATTTTAAATGAAAAATAGATTTTGTGTATCTCCTTTTTATCCTTGAGAACATTGCATGACAAATTAGCATGTATCATTCAAAATGTATTTTTCGGAAAATCAAAATTTAGCAATCAAAGATCAGAATGTAACTTTCAGAAGATCAGAGTGCAACATTCAGAACTTAAAAAATCCCGCAGGCAGATTCACATCAGAGCCCTCTACTAGAGAACTCTACATTACCAACTGCCGGAATCACTTGCACTAGAGAAAATCAAATTTCCCGCCAACCACGAGTAATCCCCATCCCTATGTGATGACATCCTCACGACAACTGCATGTGCACGACTGCCTCCCCCCTCCACGCCGCGCATCGTCCCTCCTTACCGCGACCCCCTCCCCCCCAAATTTTATTTCGAACCGACAACTCCCCCCTCGCCGCGCTCTCCTCACCGACAACCGATCTCCGCGCGCCACCTCCCCCGTCCCCGCGACCGATCTCAGCGCGCTGCCTCCCCCCTCCACCACGCACCCCTCCCACTTCCTCCGCCCCCTCGCCGATCAACCAGACCCCCCCTCCCCACTGCCCCGTAGCGTCGCCAAGCCCCCTTGCGGCAAATTTCAAACTTCACACCACAACGTCCCTTAAAATTTTCCCGCCTCTCCTAAAATTAGTCACGTGACCTCCGTTCTCCACTCCTATTGGTGGGAACGCCATTACGTCACTTCCGGTCCAGAAAATTTCAAATTTCCCGCCATTTCATGACGTCACTTCCGGTTTAGTAATTTCGAACCGGCACTCCATATCTACTTTATTTAAATTAATGTACTACAGTATCAACAAAAATGAACCTTAAGCCAACGAATTATTTTTATAGATTTTTTTTATTGCATTTGTTCCACGATTACAGGGAATTACATTATCTTGAGACGTCATCACTGAATAATGTCAGTAATTTTCAACAATTTCTACGACCGGTTGTTTCACACTTTTTTTTCCCACAAATTTGATATGGTTAATCACACTTTCAGAGAAAAATAAGCCCAATAATCCCTGATTATCACATAATTCTGCAGAACATGCGCTAACGTTACCCGACGTTGAAGACGTCATTTGTAACTCTCCACTCGGGACTCCCGAGTGCAGCTGTCCGACTCACTTCGGCGAGCCGAACGTTGACGATGTCGCGCGGACACGTACGAGGACAGGAAGAATGGCAAAAATTCTAGTGCTAGCACTAGAAAAATTCTCCAACTGCACAATAAAATCTCTAATGTTACCAAGAATTAATGAAGTTTTTCCCATAATTTTCTACGGAATTCCCCACAAAATTGACACACCGGGAAATTTTTCTAGTGCCAGCTCTAGAATTTTCCTCGTGCTTCTTTGAAAAAATTGATTATCTTACAGCAAAATTTCCGTGCTGATCTAGAAGTTTTATTCTTATTTCGATTAAAATATGGGAGTTCGGCGGTTTGCGCCCCGTTTCTGGTGCCGAGCACTAGAATTTTTCCCCGACTTTTCTCTCCGTGTAATAGCGCGATAGCGTAGTGGTTAGGGCGTAGGATTAGCAATCATAGGGTCCCCAGTTCGATCCCCAGCATCGGTAAAAAAATAATAAGCTTTTTCAGAGGTGATAACAGTAGAGATTCATTAAGAGAGGCGGCCTACGGTGAAAGAATTGAATTATCTTTTGTTTTGGATTAATTATCATTGATAATTTTTCTTGATACTGACAGACAGGTCATTCGATTTTCATACAGTTGACTTGTTCAAGTTCGGATCCATTCGTCCTGATCAAATCCGGATTGGTCAGAGGCGTAACATGTCTGATGAAGACCGGATCCGTCAACTTGATCAAGACCTGACCGGAATTTCCACTCGGGTAGTTTCACACGGTTTCAGCCAGAGAAATGACGCATTTGAATAACATAAAATTCATTTTTAATTTTTGTATTCATTTCAACAATATCTTCGTTGAAAATTAATAATCTTATCTATTTATTTCCTTGAAAACGTGTTGATTATGTAAAATGAATAATCCTGTGATTCAAAATAAGTGCTCCATTAGAATTTTAAAAAAACTATTCATTTGATCTAAACAAAAGATTCTTATTGGAAATTAGAGTGTCAGAAATAAGCGGTCAAATAACCGTTAATGATAACCGTCATAACATAATATATGGTGCGCAAAAAATTACGATTGGCCATCAGCATGAAATGACCGAATAAATTTTGATCGTCAATTTCCATCTACATAGATGCTTAAAAATTCAGGGTAATTTGACATTAAATATTCATATTTTCATTGAGAATTCAAATATATTGAAGAATTCTCGTCTTCAGGCTTTTCAAAAGGTTGGAGTTTTATTGACTTTTCAGTGAAATCTGAAATTTTATGATTTTTTTCCTCTTAAATTGGATGAAACTACTTTTTTTTCCTAACAGTGTATCATTGAAAAGAAAAAAAACTTTAGAGCCAAAGACACCCAGAAAGAACATATTCCAGGATGAAAATTCATGAACTTTTTTTTGTTCTCATGTGTTCAGAGATCCCAATATGGGAGACGATGGCTCGTGGACGGAAGCCTTCTGGCCCCGTCATACATTCAAGGATAAAGAGTACCTGACACTCGACACAAACACGTCAGACGTCGGCTACGGCATTCGAACGCGCCAATGTGCATTCTGGAAGAAGTATCTGCCACAACTGCTCGCTGCAACCTGTAAGTATCCTCCCCTCGTTATTTTTCCATCCATCGAATCGCCCCTCGAACAACAAAATCCCCTTACAAATCTTATAACAACCTTAAAGATTCACGAAAAATCGAGTTATCGGAGCAAGGACGAGGAAATCGTGAATTATGAATTTTCCCCAACGAAGGAAACTGAATTACTGATTCAACAATGCGGTTGCAGCCCTATTTCGATTCACTCACTTGTGAAATACCGAGAAAATGTGAATCCAAGTGTCTCCGGTAGAATCCTCGATACCTAATGAACCAAAAGTAATTCCATCCCCAATGTTAGAAAAGAGTTGAAATTTCATGAACAGTTTAGTGGTAATTTTCAGTAGAGTGGCATTACATTCAAATGAGTATAAAAGAAATAATGAACAAGGATCGGCAAAAATACTACTTTAGTAATGTTACGTACCGAAATATTCAATTATTTTTATTTTATGACAAGCAATTGATAATGTTTGATTTTTAGTTGGCTTTTTCAATTTTTTACGTTTTTTGAATGCATCCCTAGTGGGAAAAATAGCTTTCCGCGATACTTATATGTCAGTCTCGTTCTCGGGATTACAATCCTGATATTTACTGGTAGTACCGCTGTTTATGCAGGTTGAGTCACAAGTTTAGAGAGCAATTCGAAAAAATGCAAAATGCGGGTCTGGTGGCGCCCCCACAGATCTGTCGTTTTCATAACGTTTTTTATGCTCAAAAGAGACACATCATGAAGAGTTATTTTATTCACTTAAAATTGATTTATCATCAACTTCTTTGTCATACAATGTGAGTAAATATTAAAATAACAAAAGGAGATTTCCCAGAAGGGGAAATCCTACGTGAAATAACGAAGCTGGAGGAATTTTTTCACTACGAGTGCGATATGTAACCCCGAAAGGTAAAATAATTCTTCGAGTTGAAAAATTACTTTTGTAATTTTTCTTGTTTACGGCTGGGTGTACTCGAGATGAAAGAGTCACATTTGCGCGTGTTGGCTGGTGACTATTGCACGAAGGAGGCAATGACAACCAGTGCATTGATGAATACATGGCTAAACCAATGACAATGTGGCTAACGCCAAAGGTTAACGCCAGCTGAAATTAGCAATATCATTCAAAAAATGAAACAAACAAGAATGTTTGTAATACCATTATGTTTTTTGATGATCTTATTCAATTAGTTTATGTGCATAAACTGCATAATAATAATTTGTTGACTGGTGACGATTGCACAAAGGAGGCAATGACAACCAATGCATTGGAAAGTTGTTGATTCCGTTCCAGAGAAAAGAAATTGGTCTCACCCACACATTTATTAGGTTTTTCCTGATTTCTCAGATGAGAATAACCATGAAATATCGTGAAAAATTCTCAAAACCTTATCAAAGTGATAGAATATTTTGAAACTTTGGCAGTTTCCAATCTGTGGGAATCAAACCCTGATACGGAGACCTGCAATCAGAGAGACAAGAAGCATCCCTAGATGTAATCGAGGATTTTTCAATGGGTGAGACGATAATTCCAATCAAATCAAGTTGGTCTTTATCCTGACCTATCATCCAGATGGTTTAATAGGTAAATGAAATACAGCCAACTTTTGTTTACATTTAATATAAATAATCGCATACAGTGTTGCACATTTACTATTAAAAATGTGCTTCCAACACCCATACAAATTTAATTGCGTGTAAATAATAGAGTTTATTTTTTTTAAAACGAAAATGACGAATTGACAATTAATATCTCATGAGATCAAATCAGATTCAGTGAATCATTATTAAAAAAAAAAGAAATTAATAAATAAATAAATAAAAAATCTACTATTGTCAATTAACTTCAGGAAAAATTGTATCTTTCATAAATGAATTGATTATCGTAGTTTGTGAGTTGTCAATTTTGAGACAACTCCTCACGATGGTTGTGAAGGAGGATGTCAAGTCACTGAAAAAGATTTTCAATACCAATCTCTTAATAGACACTTGGATGCTTCTAACGCAAATTCATTTCGAATTTCTGCATTCTTTAAGTCAGACAGATGCTCATAGTGTTTGATATATCTGAATAATCAGTGAATTAAACAAAAATTGGAATGATAATTCCACTGCATCTTGTGGTTTACCGTCTTATACGTAACAATTCATTCCTCATAAAGCCAATGTGCATTTTTTTTATCTGAATGAGCATATCACAAGTATCTCTCTAACTGCCAAACGGAAAATATGTCAGACAGCTCTTCTTTAAATTTGAATAACTTTTCAGAAAATTACTTGAACTTGAGATTATGTCAAAAGTTGCAATTTTCTCTTTTTGCATAAATCAATTATCAATTGAATCTTATCAATTATCAATTGAATATATATAAAAAAAATATATTATAAGAATGAAATCACAAATTGGCAATATTGTGGAGCTATCCGGCTAATTCATTCTTTGTAAAATTGAATTTTGTTTCATCTCATCACGAACGATTCAGTAAAAACTGAATTTAAAATTGAAAATTTGTTTTGATACATCCAATACATGCGATTTCTTTGTTGAATCTGAGATGTGCACAGAGTTGCATGATTGTTTTTCATAAAACATTCTCAGTTGAATCTTAGTTAAATGAATACAAAATAAAACTTAATTTTACCATGCATTTTGCATTTTGAGGATAGACTTTCATGGTTATAAGTTATGAAAACTTCATTTTCCGTCTATAACTTATAAAATCGGTTATTATATTTGGATCTTGTTCAGAGAAAAATGAGAATAATAATCATTATAGACATAGTGGATAATCAAATGAATGAATAAATAAAAAAGCATGACTAAACATTTTTAACTATAACGCAGAGTTATAGAAATGACCATTTATTCAGATAAATATATTTTTGAGCTACCTCAAATTACGAATACTTAATCAAGTTAAACGTTCTTTATGTTTTCTAATTGAATCCTTGGACAACTGAGAAGTTACAAGTCTAGTCCTGCACTTTATTCTAATACATGGTACACCAAAGTTGAAAAACTCCTTCAATTTTGCTCCTGGAGACGTACGATTTTTAACATCAAATTACTTCCTCCAACAGTACATCTATAGCTTTGAATTGATGAAAAGAATGTTTTCCTTCTATTCATAAAAAATGGAAAGGTCAGAATAATAAAAATATTCTTAGATGCTCCCCTTTCCATGTCATACATGAATATAACCGTTTGTATTTATCCATAAAATTGCTTTTTTGGCTCAAAGTTATCAAAACTACAAAAAAAAATTGAATTCAAATTGCGAATATCACAGCTTAACATAAATCTAACGTGAGATCATTGTTCTAGCCTCAGAGTTAAACCATTATACCGGATTATTGGATGATGGCATCAAAAAAGCATTTGGTTAGATGTAGATTTCATCTTATCTAATTAAATTTTTGATTCAGAAAAGAGACTACGGACAACTCATATTAATCCAAAAATGGAACTGTCAGACTTTTCTGTTATAATTTTGCTAAACGATGGGGTATTCCGGAGGTAGGTATCCGATGCTTTATAAATTAGTGCTAAATTTGAAGAACTTCGCCTCCAGACAAGTGATCTCAGATACTTGATAAGTAGATTGTTTTTTACTGCCAATTGGGAATCCTCCGTAATTCACTAAGCATTGAATATCATAACAATGATAATATTGATAATCCCAAAAATGATGAATGCTATCTAGACTCATAGTCGTATCCCATTGACCACCTTTGCCAGGATACTCAATGTTTTCATGTGGGCTGGGTTTCTATCTCATTATCTTCACCCTATATTTTCTTCAATGATTGTACACCTGTGGATCCATGAGATACTTAGTAGTACGAGAACGATTGCACGCTTGAGCGCGCGTGTTAAGAATAATCGGGCGAGGAGGAAATGTAGGAGGTGAGGCGGAGGGACTTCTATTGTTTTCCTGCAGACAACCAATCGCTGAACAAAAAAATTTTTCCCATTCGGATTCAAAATTCAGGCAATATTAGGGAGTATTAACGCTTCATCGATCTCTCTCAAGAGACGTTTAAATTGACCGCGCTACCCCCACCCGATCGGTACTTGGGACGTTGCTGCTCGTTTGGGTAGCGTGCACAGAAATTTCATTTTTCAGTACTTTTTTCGCTATTATTAATAAACAATGCTCCTAGGCGACAATCTTTTTCACTCAATAAATCATTGATCACATGTTCTAAATGTGTCTAAAGTTTCATGACTTTGGCTGCATTTTTTCCTTGGGTTCTGCAGTTTTTTTTTGATTTCCATAAGGTCACGGGTTAAATGACTTTTTTAAAAATTCATGATAAATTAACCATGCTCCCCAGCAGTCTGAAACTTTGCACACGCCTTTTCCATCATTTGAAGAATACGTAAAAAAAAGAAAAAAATGGCTGCTTTTTTCCAACAGTCCGGACTCGCCCGATTATCCTTAAAAAAAATCGTGACACGAAAACCGAAAGCCGAACAAAGTCGAACACGTGCGGGCGGATCCGAATGTTCGACCAATAAAATTCGAGGAATGAGCGTTACGCTACAGCTTACGGTGTATGTTCTTTTTCGAATAGGACTTTCCAGTCTTGCCTAATAAGTGGCTACTGTCAATGCCTTGATTCCTTGACTTATTATATGCCCNTCCTTAAAACAAATCGTGACACGAAAACCGAAAGCCGACCGAAGTCGAACACGTGCGGGCGGATCCGAATGTTCGACCAATAAAATTCGAGGAATGAGCGTTACGCTACAGCTTACGGTGTATGTTCTTTTTCGAATAGGACTTTCCAGTCTTGCCTAATAAGTGGCTACTGTCAATGCCTTGATTCCTTGACTTATTATATGCCCAACAATTTCTAAAATACGTCATTGATTGAAAAACTAAAAATGACGGATTTTTTCTTCCGTTTCAAGTGCCAAACATAATTCATCTGGATTTTTCCAGGAAATTAAAAAAATGCACTATATATATATGTATATATATACATATATATATATATA